TTACCCTCACCAAGAACATAAATCATCAACATCATCATGCTTATTACCCTCACCAAGAACATAAATCATCAACATCATCATGCTTATTACCCTCATTATTCATCATCACACTTTCACCATCACAGCTGACATCATCATGCACCATTGCTATCATCATAACCATAAATTCTTCCCAACACCATTCTCAACACCATCAACAAGTATTATCACCAACATTATTACCATGAATTACATGGCCCGCCCATATAGCATGGAGGGTTTTGTTTGTTTTGTGTTTGTTGTTGTTGCAGTATTTGATACAAGCTTTGGTACGACCAGACTGGCTGCATGTGAGGTCAGTTTTTGTCCCTGATCTGACATATAACAGCCTAGAAAAATTGCTGCCTTTCATCAAATTCATATAGTCATGGATCAACACATAATTAATACAAATGTTTTGGAAAAAAACAATATACTCCAAAATCAACTCTCTGGAAAAAATCATAGTCCAAAAGTCCAAAAAGGAGCTGGGTTTATGAAATATTTCAAAAGTTTGTGTTAATTTCCAAGTACCTCTTGCTGTGATGGCACAGGAACATGAGAAACAAAGGTTTGTTCTCCTTCTGCACCTTCTTCTGTCTCCATCTCATTATCACTTGCCTTCAAAAATAAAAATATAAAATGCATTAAAAAATGCAATTTCTCCCTGTAACATTTTAATACAATTATAGAGTGACCACAGTAAATCCATGAAACACTAATTACTAAATAGTACAAAATAGTGCTAGTTAAACAATAGAAAACGATGGAATTTGCATGAAATTGTGCTATTTAGTATTACTAAAGTTTCACGGATTTACTGTGGTCACTCTACACTAGTTGACTACATTAATCTTTTAACAGATTATCAGAATATTGTCATACATTGTCATATGTCATATATTGTCATTATAAAATTGCTGTCAGATATATACTCTAAACAAAGTGCTGTTATTGTTGTTGATATTATAATCGTAACGCACACACATCATGTTCATTGTTCAGTCTAGGTCATTTACCTAACACTGATATCAAAAAAGTGGGGTTTTTTAGGGTGGGCGTTGGGTTGGGGGATCTTTTTTTGAGGAGGGATGGGGGAAAGAAAAAATGTTAAAGGGAAAAAAGATAAAGGGATGAATTTATATATTTAGCACCATGTCCAGGAGCTCAATGGTGCTTTACAAGGTCAATGGAGGACTTTACGAACTGCATACTAAGGTGGCTGCCTACTTTTGAACGTTCGAATTGAGCCCACGATGAGCGTGCGCTCAAAAACCGCTGAAAAATCTACAAGATTTTATTGAAGAACCATACGCGTTTTGAGCTTCAACAGGGCAAAACCCTCAAATTTTGCATGGGACTCTATATTTTTTGATAGCTCATTCGAAAAAACTCCTAAAAATCTAGGTTATATCAACATTTTAGGAAAAGTTTAAATCAGGAACACGTGAAAAAATAGATTTTTGTAGGGATTTTTGTTCGA